CTTCAGAAATCAGTCTAATATGCTGATTTGCTGCGCAAGAAACATTTCTGATTATTATCAATGTTGAAAACAGTTCATATTTGTGTGGAAACGGCGATACATTTTATTTTTCAGGATTCTTTAATGAATGCAAAGTTCAGAAGAACAGCATTTATTTGAAATAGAAATCTTTAGTAACATTATAAATGTCTTTACTGTCACTTTTGATCAAATTAATGCATCCTTGATTAAATTAATTTCTTTAAAATAAAACTCTTACTCACCCCAAACTTTTGAATGATCAGTTTCCACAAAAATATGAAGCGGCTCAACTGTTTTCAACATTGATAATAATCAGAAATGTTTCTGTATTACAGTAGCAAACAGTCAAAAGTCAGATCTCAATGTGAACTCAAACATTTATCATCATTTCCTCAAAGACCAAATGATCTGAGCTTCTATCCACATTCACTTTAGCTCTTATTTATGTCAAAAACTATGCTAAAACGCTACAATTTCAACCTCTCTATGTTGCATTTGAAGTTGAGGACAATGCATTGTGGGATACAGAATCTCACGCACTGCATACTGCACATTTGGGAAATGTTGTAGGTCATATTCTGTGCAAACAGAAGACTCATATACCATGCACAGGTATGCAAACATAGCATGCTAGTATGTTATTCTGAACACAGAGTGAGTGTTTATGTCTCAGTCAGTCAGTCAGACAGCAGCTGAAGGTCTTACCGTGGGAAATCATCATCTTGCCACTCATCCTTCACCTCCATGTTCTCCATGCGTAAAGTGGCTTCAGTGGTTCCCATCCTCTGCTCCCGATCACACTGAGAAGATCAGCACATTCAGAGGTGGCTATACAGGCTAAAACCACATATTATTCTCTCAATTACGTCTCTTAAATGAGCTAATGGCATTAAGTTTCTCTCTTCAGCAAGTAACATGATTTGAGGAATAAATGGAATGAGTTTCACGCCTGTACTTAATATTTCGATTGAAAGATTTTGAGTTGACTAAACAGTGATATTGTGTTTATGGCTGTATAAAAAACTATATGGACATATTTGAAAACACAATAAATAATAAAGTGATGAAAACGCACCAAATTAATAAAAATGTAACAAAAATGAAAATGGAAAATACAAAAATAAAAACGAATTCAAAACGTTAAAAAAAATGAATCAAATAAAATATAAAAAAATTAAACATTTTATTTCAGCTAGTTGCCAAAGCAACATTTCCCATTTTTATTTTGTTTAAAAATAACAAAAATAAAATGTATTTAAGAAATAAATAATAAAAATGACAAAAACACAACGAAATGAAAATGGAAATGGAAAATACAAAAATAAAAACTAATTCTAAATATAAAAAATAAATCAAATCAAATATAAAAATCCAAACTTAGTTTATTTAAGCTAGTTGCCAAAGCAACATTTCCCATTTTCATTTAGTTTAAACTGATGTACTAAAATAACTCAAACAAAAACCTAATAAATAATAGGCATATTTAAAAAAATACAATAAATAATACAAATTGCAAAAACACAACACAGTTACTAAAACTTGAACTACAACTTAAATGATTAATCAAAATTTTAAAAAGGAAAATACAAAAATAATAACATTTTATTTCAGCTATAGTTGCCAAAGTAACATTTCCCTAAAACTAAAATAAACGTAAAAATTAATAAAAACTATGTAGACACGTATATTTTTTTAAACATTTAATAAATAACAAAAACACAGTACAAACGTTTTTAAACTGAATGAAAACTGAAAAAACTAAAATATTACAACAAATTAAAAAAATCTCTCTCTCTCTCTCTCTCTCTCTCTCTCTCTATATATATATAGTATAATGCTAATATAATCTTTCATCAAAATATAATAACTGCAGATCTGAAATATTTTAATTTTTTTGTTGACATTGCCTGCAGTATTTAACCCTCCCCTCATCAGCCCGTCACATACAAACACCTTTCAGCATCCAATCAATTCCACACGGAAAAATCTACATTAATCTCACTGAACGTCCTGTTTACTCAGAAATACGTCACGCTGTGGAATTAAAAGGGGTCGCAAACATGGCTCATCTGGTCAAACACTCACAGCAGAAGGGAGTTTCTCTCAGCAGGCGCTGGTTTCTCTCTGTGCTTCACCTTCAGGCCTGTTGATTTCTCAGCTCTTGATTAAATCCATAGCGCTCATGCCGGATGAGGAGCTTCAGAGCTGACTCTCAGTTTGCTGTCTGTCTGTCTGTCGGGTGAAGCCCGTCACGTCTGTGGTTCTCAGACAAAGGGAGGCGTCTGGGGCGGGTGGATGACTTTCAGTGTCTCAGGATCTGTGCATGGCCATTATCATCCAGAAACGACAACATACAGATTCCTTTTGAGCAGCTAGCAGATGTGCTTTTTAATTCTTCTTCACTCCAGATTACGTCATGTCACCTGGCGTCTCCTCCCCTTCCTTCTATCCTTCTCTCTTTTATATGGTGCATTTATTTCCCTCCTTTATAAAAGGTAAACCTTTCCGAACCTTGCTGTATGTGGAGCAAGCTGTAAAAGATGGACATCTCCTTACTGTTCCCTAGCAACAGCATCCCTGTCTCTCCATCCCAGCACAATCTCTCCTCTGTATGTTCCTCTCTCGTTCTCGCTCTCTCTCTCTCTCTCTCTCTCTCACACACAGCTGAGAGACTGGAAACACAGACTCCTCCCTCGGTCTCCTGTGATTGGTGGAGCTGCATTTCCTGCTGCGCTCTGATTGGCTGAGGCTCTGTGTGATAATGTCATCTGTTCAGTACTCAGGAGGCTTGTGCTGGCAGGCTTTGTGCTGGTGCTTGTACAAGCTCAGTGCATGTAATATGACATTTGCAGTCTATATAGACCAGGAAATTAGTCAAATAATGTTTCTTTACATAACAGTTGATAAATTATTTTTATTTTATTGGTACATTTAAAACCAGTTATTCATAAATTAAAATCAGGAAAATGCAACTACTTGTAACCTGCAAAATACGTTTTCATGTAACATCATAGTAGTAATAATAATAATAATAATTATTATTATTATTATGCTAGTTGTTGTTGTTGATATAATAATAATTAACAATAAAAAATATAATAGAATATTCTAATTAAAATTATTAAAAATGTAATAAATATAAGTTATACTATTACAATTACAATTATATTACAACAATTAAAAAAAAAAAATTATTATTATTTTGTTGTTGTTTTCATTATTAATATAATTATAAGTATTGTATTATAATAAAAATACTAATTAAAAATAAATGTTGCTTTTGTTTGTTAATAATTATATTTTAAAATGTAACTGTAAATATAAATAACAATAATAATTATTAATATGGTTATTATAATTTAAAATAATAATTTTATTTATAAAAAAAAATTAAAAATACTATTGTTGTTATTAATATAACAAAATATATATATTTTTTTATTAATATCAGTTATATTATAATTACAATCACAATTATAAAAAACAACAACAATATTTTGTTATTATTATTATTAATAATAATAATAACAACAACAATAATATTTGTATTATTATTATTATTATTATTATTGCTGAATAACGCAGCGGTTTGGGATTAGGCTTTGCAAGGCCATTTGGGCCAATCATTATGAATGTATACAGCCATAAACATCATAAACTCTTTTTAAAACGGTCCTCAAATGGTTTTGTCAATCACAGAGACGACTTCATAAAGGATGAGAGTGAATTTAGAGAGATGCTGTCTGTTCGAGACGGAGCCTGGGGTTTTTCTGTCGGGACAAACACTGACCTGAAAGATCAGAGTGTCCATTAAAACCCACTCAATCATTCAGGACGGCCAGCCATGTGGAATTCAGCACTGAGTGCTTTCTTTTTGTATTTCAACCTCTCATAGTTCACAAAATACATGCAGTGTTCTAAAATATCATAATGATTGATTTCAGTATTAGATAGTTGCATTTGATTGCACAACATATACATTTGTACCAGGAGAACAGCTGTGAATATTAATGCCTATATGGTTCACAAATGTACAAAATATTCTAAATTAATAAATATAAATTATATATTTGTTAGAGTGATAATATTCAACTGCTGAAATTTTAAGTTCAGAGCTGTACTTCACTGTACTCACCATAAGATAGAGCTGGAGTTCAAACAAACCTCCATGAGGCTCCTGTCCACAGGCAGCAGAGCAGCGAGAACTTGATCTGATTAAAGAGAAAATAAAAGCATTCAGTTTTTCAACTTTATATGCGCAGACACACTTCACATAGAGAACAGAGGGGTAAGGTGTGCCAAAGTTGACCTTTACTCTAATCAAAGTGAAATGAATGAAGTGAAATATATTTTCTCTCTCTATATATTTTAGAATATTTGAGAAATCGTTTTTATTAATATTTTGAATAATATAATATTTTTAGTTTTTATTAGATTAACGTTTTGTTAAGATTTTTAAATAATATTTATATTTGATTTTTATTTCAGTCTTATTTCAATTAACAAAAACAGTTTGTTAATAGTTTAATTTTAGTTAACAACAATTTTATAATTGTAAAAAAAAAAAAACGAAATAATAATTCTTTTCACCTAATATTACAATTTTATTTCAACCTCATTGCAATTAACAAAAACTATTTTTAAGTTTTTATTTAAAAATTGTATAACAGTAAAACTAATTTACTAAATAGGCCTAGTTATTATTTTCATATAATATTTATTCATTTAAATTTTAGTTACACAGCTTTATGTTCATGTTGAATTTTTTTCTCAGTGTTTGTAATTAAAAATGTTTATTTTGTTAGAAAAGCATGCAAAAAAGCATTTTTCACTGGTTGTCTCAGACTTTGTACATGTTTTCTGTTAATAAAACGAATGAACACTGGTTGATATGTATTTCAGATCAGCAGAATTATGCATGAAGATAACAGCCGTTTGTCCTTGGCCCAAGGTGAGGAATTTATAATGAGCTAAGCTCTTGAGCCGTTTTCATCACCCTCATCTTCATCACAGGTGCCAAATCTGTAACTCGCACACCTCTATTGTCTTCATATTGTTATTGTTGCTCCAAAACAAGCTCAAATAGCTTGAACTTCTGAACCGGAAAACTTGCTTCTGGAAAGCCGCTTTCTGAAACGAGTGGATACTGGATAGTTCATCTAATCTTCAGGCCTAAAAGCAGAGAAGATGTCCTTCCTCCTGCAGCAGATGTTGGGGGACAAACTGAAGAACATGACAGGAGGAGGAAACACTGATGGAGAGGAGAAAGAGGGCGGAAAAGAGACGGCGGCGTCCAAAGGAATGAGCAGGGAAGAGTTCGAGGAGTATCAGAAACAACTGATCGAGGAGAAGTGAGTCAAACACAAAAAAAAGTGAAATGCATGGGAAGTGTCGATTGCGGCGTTACATTTACTGTAAATCTGCCTGCGTTGCATCAGATTTCTTTTTATTGCGCTTTTCGCACCATTGAGCGTTTTAACCAATCACGCACGTTTCTGTTGGGTTTATGAACGCAGTGGCCAATCAGAAGCGTTTTGATTCTTCAGCGCGGAGAACTCGGGAATTGTTCAGTGCGCCGCTTGCTGACTGAGAATTCATAAATCATTTTATAATTATTTATCAGCATTCTCGAATTCCCTCATCATCATTGAAGTGCAGAAGAGATAAGTAAGAGATTGATTTTGAAGTGTAGACAGTAGTGTTGGGTAAATTACTCAAAAAAAGTAATCCGCTACAAATGACTAATTACTCCTTTAAGATCGCAATTGAATTGCATTGCTAATTAGCTACTGCATTTAAAAAGTAATCAGATTACTTTACTTTCAAGTTTATTTTACTTTGCAAGTTATCAAACAAAAAAGTGAAACTCATAGTTCTTGCAGTAATTTAGGCCTAATATTGACTGAAAAAATTACATATGAATCCAGCAACTTGAAGGATCACTTGAATTTTTTCCAGATATCAGCGAAAAGAACTTAAAATGTTACATCATTTTTGATCGTACAGATGAGAGTAATACATCATTAATTAATACATACATTAAGTAACATAATTTTATTGACACTAGTAACTGTAATCACATCACATTAATTTAAAATGTAACGCATTGCTGCGTTATCAGGAAAAGTAATTAGAATACAGTAACGTTATACCCAACTCTGCAAGACAGCTTCAGTGATTATAACAGGAGTTTTTGTGAAAGTGAACTCACATCAGACTGAAGACATGGACCCAGGCCTGGACTGGGACACAGTTGCAGGCCGAGAAATCTCAGGCCATCCTAAACACCTACAACAAATTCTAAAAACCACAAATATCTCTGTCTCTTCCTTTTTGTTCTTGTACCTGTCACTTCTTCACCAGCAGGGTCATGAACAGAACTGTGTCCTTGTTGCAAAACAAATATTGCTATTTATCTTAAAATGACTTAAATACCCTAGATTTAACAAACCTATATTTCCAACCACATTTTCTAAAGTGCCTAAATGTCAAAATTAGTTAATCGACATTAATAATCATTTATAGAATATCAAGAGCAATGATTTTTTAATTAATAGGCTATTTACATTATGCAATTTTTGTGTAAATACATGAGCAGCATTAAACAGTCTGTAAATAAACATAAATGCAGTAAAATATGGCTTTTGTTGATGAGGGGAAAAAAAGACTGGTAACATTGTGACAGATTAAACTGGTTAAATATAATTACTTAAATAAACAACACAGACACATTTAATAGAGTAATTATGTAACTGTCTCAAAGGTAAAAAAAACAACAACTTGGAAATCAGCTACAAAGACAACTTTAACCACAAAATGTCCTGATCAAAATAAGCAGCAAGCACAGACCTATTTTGGTCACTTTCAGTGAATCTAATTGGATGTTACACATAATTGAATATTAAGCATCATAATGTTCTGATTGGCTGATTTTGTTTTTGAGTTTTTGCTTTCAAAGAGCATTAATACTGATTGCAATTTAAGCAGCGATAAACCATTATTCAGTTTCATCCAGAGCTAAAACTGATTTTATGCATAAGTATTAAAGGAGAGATGACCAATGAGAGGGCAGAAAGTAGATGTCATGTGACCACATTTGTGTAGTACATTTACTAACAAACAACAACAACACAGTGACGCAATGTTTGCCAGAGATTAATGACTGTCATTGTGGTCTCAAACTTCTTTTTTTTTTAGGTTTTCATGTATTATTTACATTTTATTTCATTTTACATTTTATTTTATTTAACAAAACGATTTGTTAATATCTTTAATTTTTAGTTTCATCTAATATTTAGATTTTATTTCAGCTTTATTTCAATGAACAAAAACAATAATTGTTAAATTTTTAGTTTACAATAATTTTATTATTGTAAAAACAATTAACTAAACAATACTTATTTTTCATCCAATATTTACACACACAGTTACCATAGTAATTATTTGTATAACTATGGTATTTTGGTGGAAGCGTAGTTTACCAAAGTTAGCATAGTTTTTTTTAATAGAAAAATAATTAACCTAATAATTAGTTCAATATGAAAATAAAAAATATAAATTATTATTAATAATTATTATTAATTTATAACAACATAATTGTACACTGTAACAAATGACCGTAAATTTAACGGTAAAAGACTGTAAAAATGCTACAGTAAAAACCTGTTAAATGGTTAACGGTAAATTCCCCTACTATATACGGTGAAAAACTGTATTGGACATTACATGTAATTTTACTGTTTTCAGTGTTTATTACTGTTTCAGTTTTCAGTGAATAACTGCTGTTTGTGATGGGCTTTGGTTCATCGTGTGACTTTCTCATCACCTCCTGCATTTGGTGATTATAAGTGTATTACAAAGGTACAAAACAGAATCCTTCAATAGGTTGGCATATTAACATTATTTCAGTTAATTAAATGATGGTATTTAACTGTAAATTTAAGTTAAAACTGTAAAACCTAAAATGTCTCTACCGTGTTTTTTACTGTAAAATTCCGGCAACCACAGCTGCCAGTTTTTACCCTGAATTCTACTATATTATACACAGTACCAAAGTAAAAAAAAAAACTAAACAAAAAAAAAAAAGCCTGATTGTTATGTAATAATATCACATTCTAATGTTTCAGCAAAACTGCATCATTTAATGACAGCTGTATTGGTTTTTATTTAGATCCTTTGAATTCCACGTAGTGATGTTTATAAACATAATGAAATCGTCTTAGTCTGTAATTATTGTATTATCCTAATTCCCATTTCCTGTGGCATCCTGCAGGCCAATAGCGGGATCAGTCCGTTACAGCCGCTACCGCTGATGTCAGAGATGCCTGACACTATATTACAATGATTGTTTGTCATGACTGAAATATAAACAAACAATCTAGTGTGCATTCATTTAATGATGGGAAATAAAGACATTAAACTCTCCAGCCGGACATCTGAAGATCAGGAGTGAAACGAGAATGCTCTCAGTGTGAAAGCTTGTTACTGTGACGTCTCGGAAAAAAGCCTACACACACATTGCCGTAATGTTGCTTTGCAATACACCTCATCTCTTTATATAACGCCCGATAGCATTAAGTCCAGAACTGGGTCACGAGAGTCCTTACTGGCCACGGCCTTTAGTGTGATCCAACCACAACAACTAGTTACATCAGAAAATCATCACAGATTTACACACAGGTGCGTCTGTGGCAGTGTTATTTATTTAATATTTTTATTCATGATTTTTATAACCAATTATTTATTTATATAAATAATACTAAAATAACAATGACAAAGCTACTATGGTTATTTTTATTATTTTTTACAATTATAATTGATTAATTGTTTAGCTAATTAGGCATGTGTTTTGTCATTTTTAGTATTTTTTTCTTTATTTTCCAATAGTAATTTTTGTGTAATTCTAAAAACATTAACTAGTTAATTAATTAATTATAAAAAAATAATGAATTAAATAGTTATAATAAAACAATAAAAATAACTATGGTAAATTTGGTAGTGTTTTTTAGTAATATTTATGTACTATAATAGTTTTTATGAATACATTGAATTAGCTTTGTTTTCATTTTAATTTTAGTGTATTCGTTTTTGATTTTTTTTTTTTTTTCATTTTTAATTTATTTTAATTTATTTCAATTAACAAAAAAAATAAATAATATGATATAATAATATAATAAAGTAGTTTTAGGGATTGCAAAGGTTGCATTTGTATGTTGTTTAATATAGTAAGTATTACAGCGTCGTCCCTGTTTGACTCTAGATATAAAGCCACCTGCTCCATATTTTAGCTCTAAACCCTTCTAACCTTCTTAGGCTCTATCCTGCTGCAGGTCAGCTTGTGCTGTTAACTGGGCTATTGCTTATTTCTGTAGGCAACAGTCTGTAGATCCGTATGAACGATGGCTAATCTCTGTGGGTCAGAGTAATACGATTGTGAGGACTAGTCAGGAAGACGCTCAGATTGATTGGTTTCAGATAAAACCACTAAACAGCATGTAAATAATCAATTAATTTCTGCCCATGTAAATTATAGGCTAATTATGTCACTTCAGCTATATGGTCAATCTCACACAGTGGAGATCAAAATTAGAGAACAACCTACAATTTCCTCAATTTTGAGATCACTGCTGCTTAGTCCTATTTGAAGCTATCCTAACAGGAGCAGAAGGGCCGTTTTTAAGCATATTTCATCAATTAATTGTATTCTGAAGCACAGTATAAAAAACTTAAATGAGATTTGCAAAAGAACACTGATCAAAATTAGAGAACACTTACAGATACCTCCAAGTTATGGTTGTTAATTTGGCACCTGGTGTTAATTTCCTTAATTATATAACAAACCCTATTTAACTTTGCAGCATTCCTGCAATTTTCACTGAGATGACGGGCCGCTCTAAGGTGACTGAAAGCCTGCGACAGCAGATTGTCCAGATGAAGGCCAATAGCAGCGATAGCAAGAGAAGCTGGTCGTTCCAAATCTGTGATATCTTGAATCTTTACAATGAGACTAACTCATTCAAGTCCTCCAAAAAGGCTGGTCATCCACGTGAGACAAATGCACGAGAGGACAGGATAATGCAGAGACTCTCAATGGGGAATCGGTTCAGCACTGCAGCTGGAATTGCTCAACAGTTCAGCTCTGAACAGGATCTGGATCTGTCTCGGCACGTTTAAGAGAAGTCGGACTGAAAGCACACTCTGCAGAGATCAGGCCTCTCATCAGCAGAGAGAATCAAAAGGCTGGACTCATCTTTGCTGAGGAGCATGTTGTGTGGAGAGAAGAGAACTGGTCCAAAGTTCACTTTAGTGACGAGAGCGAGTTTCATTTATTTGGTTCTGATGGGAAACATTATGTTTGGCATCAAGCTGAGGAAAGACTGAAGCCCGAGTGTGTAAATAAGTCAGTGAAGTGTGGAGGAGGAAGTGTGGTGGTTTGGGGGATGTTTGAGTTGGGCCTCTTACACATGAAATGGACCCTTATTGATATTTTTATTATATATATATATATATATATATACATATATATACAGTATATTCTCATATTTCAGCAATGAGAAGTTGCATAAGAATATGCTTAATTTGCATGAAAATAATGGAAAAATCTTTGATGTTAACATTTACATTTTTAGCGTTTAAATTAACATTTTTCAATTTTGCTTCAACAAAATAGAATTTCTTATTTCTTCGGTGCATGTGACGCACAGCAAAGCGTTTGTAATGCTGAAGACCTCAGAAAATCCTGAACGTGCACATTGTTAGTAGATCCGGTTAGCTGTTATCTAACATGAACTAATGTCATAAAAACTTTAAATAAACAATGCATTAACATGTTATATGTTTTATTGACAGAATCTCCAGGGACCAGGAGTTTGCCACAAAAAAAGCCGAGCGAGCAAACTTACGAGTGCTGATGCGTGACAAATACAGAATACCTCAGGTAACAGATCACAGGTTCATCATGATAACCAACTGGAAATAATTTATATTTATATAATTTATATGATTAATAATATAACATGCTGGGATAATAACATGTCCAGATTGCACTGATTTGATTTTGGGGTGACATTTGTTAATATATTGAAATGTTTATGAAATCCAAACTAAGTTAAAACTAAAGCTACTGTATTAAATTTCTAAGGCCTCTAAATGATCAACTTGATAAACTTTGCTGAAAAACCTCTTGCCACACAATCTACATGCCTTCTGTCGTCTGATTGATAGTTTAGAGTTTTTTATCCAATAAAAGGTCTTTTAATGTAATTGTACAAACGTCCAGCTTAAAGGGTTAGTTCACCCAAAAAACGAAAATTAGGCTGTGTTTTACTCACCCCCGAGGCATCCTAGGTGTATATGACTTTCTTCTTTCAGACGAATCCAGTCGGAGTTATAATAAAAATGGTCTTTGATCTTTCAAGCTGTTTCATGGCACTCAGCGGGTGTTGCATTGCTTCAGTAAAAAAGAAGTTAAATAAAAATCGCCCATCCATAAAAAAAGTGTCTCACACGGCTCCGGGGGGTGAACAAAGGCCTCCTGTAGCGAATTGATGCGTTTTTGTAAGAAAAATATCCATATTCAAATCTTAATAATAATCACTCTAATCTAGCTTGCGCTCACGGTTGTAAACAGAAGCAGCTCCGGGTGGATGACGTATGAGGTCAGCGCTGCGCATGCGCCGGTGAGTCTCGTGAAAACCAACGTTTGTTTACAGGAGCAAAGGAAGCAAAGTTTCCTTACTTTAGCAAAGGAAAACCAGTCTCCTCTTAGCTTATTTCGATATCCTCTGACATTCTTCTTTACAAATCCTCGTTTTGTACTTCTAATTAGTGACCGTTGTTTTGTTTTGATCTCTCTGCTGCGCTTCCGCGTTCGTCACTTCTGAGCGGCGCATGCGCAAAGCTGACCTCATACGTCATCCGCCCGGAACTGCTTCCGTTTACAACAGTGAGTGCAAGCTACATTA